ATACTGTTCTTTCTCTAACCTAACCTTCTTATACATCATGTATTGGTAATTGATCCGATACAGTGAGTTGGTGTAGTCGATGGTGTGACTTCCACGTAAGATCTTATAGATTAGGCAGTTATATCATGACGAATCTACAATTTTGGGATTAGGTCTATTATTAGAGCAGTACTAATATAATGGTAGACCATAATTTTACAAATCTATGTGATGAAGAGTTAAGCAGTACGAAAATCTGGAACGCACTAACAATTGAATGTTTAGTATATTCGTATTTTCTAGCATTTTCTATTCATCTAGCGGGCGAATGCCGCACATATCATCATACGTTTTACTGAAGATTTCATCCCAACCTTTAACTTTCGATTCATATACTTTCTTGATCCTGAAAGTTTACCAGGACCTCAAAAGCGCGTTCATAGATGACATATGAAGATAGCCTTAGATCATAAACATGAAGTCCCTGTTGAAAATATTACTCTTATATTCAGTATTGACGCATTAAATAGGCGGTAAAACGAAAGATTTAATACATTTATTGAATAGCAAAAATAAGATGATAGTCCTCACATAAGAGGGATGCTCATCGACCGCTTGATGACCGCATTCCTTCCAAATGAACCACATTACTGCCTGTAGTGGTATTTGTCTTAACCATACCATCCTAATAAATGCACATGTTAACCCAGCTTATACATGCATTGCATGATATCATATCTATGCCATTTGAACTTAACAATTATATAAAGTGTCTTTAACGCTAGCGTATTTTTAGCGAGTTAGTTTTCTACAGGATTGGGTCGCTAACCCCATGCTCAACTCTCCCCCTCCGGGCTTTGGATTATACTTAACTTTTGTAAATGACTTCAGCATGTTTCTCTATTAGTTTCTCATTTGGTAAACATCTTAGAACCTCGTCAGTATGAGTAGAGGTTTAGTGACAAGATTATTCACGACAATCATAAGTATGAGCAGTCGCGCAAATCCTCTAAAAACTGGAAACGTTACTGTCGAATTTGATCCACCACTGACAGAGGTTCATGTCGTCATCATAAACATGAGTTTAGAGCTGTACTTCACTTGATTACAACTTGCGTTTTTCATGATAATCATATAGGCAGCACCTACTGCTCATCATCTAGTAAAGAATCATTTAGAAGGAATCATCGCACTACATTAATATTTATGTAACATAGCTTACTTATTTACTCCAGTTACTCCTCGTGAAGGAACATAGGCCGCTCATCAGCATTCTCCATCCAACCATGTCCTGGACAATCCTTTCCAGCTCCTTCCACTTGTTATTCATCCTTTCCATATCTGCTTCTATTATCCGACGTAATGTGTTCTTTGGCCTTCCACTTTTCCAATTCCCTTCAGGATTCCAAGTTAGGGCTTGTCTCGTGATGCAACTTGACGATTTGCGTAGTGTATGCCCTATTCATTTCCATCGTCTTTTCCTAATTTCCTCTTCAGCTGGATACTGGTTTGTTCTCTCCCAGAGAAGGCTGTTGCTGATGGTATCCGGCCAATGGGTGTTGAGTATCTTGCGTAGACTGCTACTTATAAATACTTGTACTTTCTTGATTGTAGTTGTTGTAGTACTCCAAGTTTCAGCTCCATACAGTAGAACTGCTTTGACATTCGTACTAAAGATTTTCATTTTGATATTGGTTGAAAGTTGTTTTGAGTTCCATATGTTCTTTAGCTGTAGGAATGCGACCCTTGCTTTGCCGATCCTCGCCTTTACGTCTGCATCTGAGCCTCCTTGTTCATCGATGATGCTTCCCAGATATGTGAAGGATTCTACATCTTCCAGAGTTTCGCCATCAAGAGTGATTGGATTGCTGTTCTCCGTGTTGAATTTGAGGACCTTGGTTTTCCCTTTGTGTATGCTGAGGCCTACTGATGCAGAGACTGCTGCTACAATGGCTGTCTTCATCTGCATCTGTTCGTATGTACGTGATAGGAGGGCTAGGTCATCTGCGAAGTCCAAATCATCTAATTGATTCTGAGCTGTCCACTGTATTCCGTGTTTTCCTTCAGATGTCGAGGTCTTCATAATCCAGTCGACCACCAGAAGAAAGGGGAAGGGGGAGAGTAAACAGCCTTGTCCGACTCCAGTCCTTACTTGGAATGCATCTGTCAACTGTCCTCCATGCACTACTTTGCACTGTAGTCCGTCGTATGAGTTCCGTATAATATTAACAATCTTCTCAGGAACTCCGTAGTGTCGAAGAAGTTTCCATAATGTCCTCCTATCTACACTGTCGAATGCCTTTTCATAATCAATGAAGTTGATGTATAGTGATGAGTTCCACTCAACTGATTATTCGACGATGATCCGTAGTGTTGCAATTTGGTCTGTGCACGACCGATCCTTTCGGAATCCAGCTTGTTGATCTCGAAGTTGGGCGTCTACTGCATCCTTCATCCGGTTCAGCAACACTCTGTTGAAGACTTTCCCTGGTATTGACAGTAGTGTAATGCCTCTTTAGTTTTCACGTTTGCTCAGATCTCCTTTGTTTGGAATCTTGATGAGGTGTCCTTCTTTCCAGTTCGTCGGCACTTGTTCCTCCTCCTAAATCTTTTTGAATAGAAGGTGAAGCGCAGTTGATTTCAACATCTTATGGTCTTTCTATTTTAAATAAGTTGATTTCTGCTTAATATGAAACTTACAACTAACTTGTCTGCACCAACAACTGGTAAGTATGAATATTAATAATCAGTTTACTCAAAATATTGAGTTCAGAGCATGGACACACTCAAGTTTACTGAGTTACTGTTATGTCTGCCCGAAATTTGTATGATTATCACTATTCCGACGCACTAAATAAATGCTCGGTGGCAATTCATATTTATCAGCAATTTAAGTCACGGCTAAGCAATAATAGGATCGACAAAATCTGACCCACAGCTAAATAAACCGTAATAAACTCAACAGGTTAACTGCAACACTAGTTGAAATTTGTCCTCTCTGTGGTTGCACTTTCGCTCCTTCAGTTAACCCACTAATGAGAGTGAAACTGGAAATCAACTCATGCGGAGAGCATACCGGTATAAGCGTTGATTGACTTTATAATTTACATCAAAGACCATACCAATAAAAACTATGATACACCATTGATCGTTTTTCTATTTTTAACCACAAAATAATTATACCGCCTACACGTCAACCTATTAACCAACGGTTAATACTATGCATCTTAATGTGACTTTTGAAAATATCTCTATAACCTCTCTTTGTTTAACGCCCAAATAATAATATTCATGTAGATTTTCACTTTGAGCGAGTTCAGAATTAAAAAAGCATTTTGGAGTTGGTACTTGTAATTCACGATCACTTGCTACCGCGTTTTTTCATTCATCTTTCATTTTGTCAGTACCTGGAAGGTTCTTATTATTCTTTTGATAAGCTCTGGCGTCCAAAGGTCTCACCTTGATTCTGGGGAGAAAATAGTGTAGTGGTATTCAATTCAACCGCACGACCCTCGAAGCAGAACATGAGATATTTGAGAAGCTTCGTATTCAACATTTAACACGGAGAGAAAGCAATTAATCGTGAACTCATGAACAATTAATCAAAATGGCATGGCTTGGTCATGAAAACATAGTCACCCCAAGCAACCTCATATTCTTGCGTCAAATATATTACTCTCTTCCTAGATCAAATGTGTTCTTCAGAAACGATAAGCATCATATTGCTGATGGTCACGATCGGATGAATCCGTGTAGACAATGATGAGAGTTTCATGTAAGGTTTTATAGATTAGGTAGTCGCATAATGACAAACCTACAGCTTTGGATTTTAGTCTATTATTATGGTATAACTAAAATCGAATAAGACCATAATTCTACATGTCGTCTTTGTTATCCCTGGCTTTATGAGAGCTAGTCGGAGAGCTTTTTGAGGGTACAGATGGTCCTTCAGTTCTGGTATTACATGTACCATCCCTATTTACACATAATAGATTAAATACAGTTTTATACGGTCCTGGATACCTGCTATTTGTCGGAGGAAGTGCTGGTCAGTTGCATGCTTGATCAGAACAAGCTATAACCCGTTATTAGAAAACAAACCTCCACAAACGATAAAAACATTCATTTACCTGATCTAACGGGTAAGTTATCACGTGGTGACAGATCCATGCAATAAATAAGCATTAGGACTTCAACAATAACAAAACTTCAGTTAGTCAGCATGTATAACATCAAGGTCATGTTAACATACCTTTTATCGTGTATACATACCGGTTTCCCATTTTCCACCTAAATAATAAGAAGCCCGTCTTCCATACGGTCGTTCGAAATTTCAGGAAGTATGTGAAAGTCAAAGAGTATTGGCGTGATAATTAGCCAGATTTACGACAAGTGTATTTTATTTCATACATCTCAGTTCACCACCTACGGTTAAGTTTAACGCTCAGAAGAAGAGAGATTATCCTGAGAACTTCTTATCATGCCGTTAGACCTAAAATTTCAGTGAAATTTGCTGTGGGTGTCATGGTATCAAATCCAATGTGTTGTCAGGTTCGTTAAAAAACTTCCTAACCGTCATTGATCACTTAAAAGTTCGTGGGAGTGTATAAGTGCAAGAAAGAGATCAGTAACTCAAATGAGAGTCCACAACAGGTTGAGAATGAGTTTCCCAGTTACCTGCTGTAGATTGACCTGCAAAGCTGACACATTCAACCGATTATAAAGTACTGTGTTTATCACAAAATTAAAAAAACTGAACAAGAGAGGAAGCGTTCTGAACGTTTCCATCTATCATTCTGGAAGGAAGTCTGAGACCGGTTTTAAGAATACACGTACAAAGTAGTCACGGTAAGGATCCAGGATACAAAATACAACTAACACAGGAAATATTTCACAGCATTCCCAAAAGTAGCTGGTGATAATGGCATGAATTTCGATGTTCGAACTCGAGAAATCAAATCAGTCATCAAAATCGTTAAATAGTCCGTCGACTGAAAAAAATCATGTACCAGCATTGTAACCTTTGAGTAAGCAGCAAAAATATTGACACTGGAACACCAAAATTTGTAAGAAGACGATGAAATGACCTTAACAGGACCCATAATAAAGAAGCACACACTTCAGCCTCAAAGACACCGGAAATCAAACATATCCAGCCACTATGTTTACAAAAAAGTTCTTTTTGAATGTAATGAAACTACAGGCACGACCGTCACTTTCAAAGAGAACGAATAAGAAAATCTTAGACTTATTTCTGGATTACCTCATTAACCATTGTTTTCTGCATTGAGTGAATAAAATAAACATGCATTATATTCTATCGTAATCAAGACCCATCCCCTATGATCCAGACACTTGTGCAAGTCTGAAGGCCATAGAATTCCAAGCCAGATTTTGAAGATTTGCGCTACCTTCCGGATGGAGAGTCCCCTAGTTGTGGGAGTCCACGGCCCTTTAAATCATGCTTGGTTATCAGAAAATGAACTGGGGATTTATAGAAGAATAACTGCTTCGAATGAATCCACTCGCAATGAGATACTCATTGAAAATGTTAAGTGGGGCACGTCAATATACAACGATGAGTTTATGAGACGCCTTGCTAAAAGTTCCTTTGGTAGGTTAAGAATATTTTAAACCTAATTCTGAATAGAGGTGTTTTCAGCACTTCAAAAATGTTCAGAGCAGAACTCGTAAGTTTGGTTGTTAAAATATTCCCCTTCAGATTTATCACCCACAGCATTCAATACAGAGCTGCCTTAGCTGTGTGTTCAAATGAAATTTTCACATTTCTAAGTAATTTAGCATATCTTATTCCTTTCAGAACTTTCAGCAGGTTCGGATGAGGCAAGGGCAGCTCATCTAATTGCCCAAGGTAATCTGATCCAGACATTAGAGCTCTTGTGGCATCTTGCGGAACTGATTTTTATCCAAGTATGTTCACTTTATGTAAAAAAGGTATTCTCTTAATTGCCTTCATTTGCTGTTAGATTTATCTAACTTATTTATTGTTACTCTTCTGTGGCCTTCAGAGTAATTCTACACCACTTCGCTTGGGTCGGACTGCTGGCTAATAAATTTGCGGATTAGTTTCATATTATCATCTGATCCCCGATAATTGTTTATACATTTAATCACATATCAACACTTCTTAGCTGCACAAAAGTTCATCAACCAAACCGCAACCGTGTCTATAGTTTAAAATAGAAGTGAATCTCAGGTGTTTCCTGAAATAATGGTCTTCCATTTACCTTAATTAATAATTCAACCTCATTTAGGGTGATGTTTTCTCCCTCTGAATGCGAAATATTGCTTTACGACTGACCCGAACCATCTCATAGATTGGTCATAGGGAATGAAGTCGTTGAGTGTGTCGACCACTACACTTATCTTGTGAGCCTCATTGATGCTAACTGGTTGGTTCCTGACGAAATCTCAGCCAGGATGTACAGAGCTCTCTTGGTTTTTGTCAGTTCACATCACATGTGGTACAAGCGAGATGTTAGTCAATCAAAGAAACGGTGAGTATTCTGTACATCAGTTTGCATCGCATTCTTGTGTGGGTGTGAAACATGTACTATGAAAGTATGAGATATGTGTAAGGTGCGGGTGCTTTGTCATGGATACATTGTGAGACAACTGATTGAGGGATAGTGTGGTTAAACACAGGGTACTAGACAAAGGTAGGAAATCGATTGATAAGATTGTGAATGTTGGTTAGTTGAGTCGGTTGGATTATACATTACGTATTTCTAACCAATGTCTATCTCAACGGGGAATTTCAGATTGCGTAAGAGTAGTTTGAAAGAACTGATGATTGACCAAACCTAAACGCAACACCAGTTCATGAAATTTTTAACTTCTTTATTGATCTATATCAGTAGATGTTTATCGTCTACGACTTGCGGATGATCTAATATCTTGCACCTACTGATTTCCATTCTTTTTTATCTTTCGGTTTTCCATGAATATAAATATCATTTTATGTTTCCGATGCGTGCCTCTGGTTGTCTAGAATGGTGGAAACTTAGAACTACATTTTCGGGTCCTAGATCGAAGTGTCCGTATTTGTTTATCAAAAACGAAATGTATCAAGTTCACTCCTGATTACAGAGCGACAATTCACTAGATCGATAATCAGAAGCGTATAGAGTCGTGTAGCTCGATAGTTATTACTACCTCTTACTCACCCGTTTTACTGTGTATGGGTATTTTTACTAGACAAATGACTGAAGTGTTATATATATATATATATATATATATATATTGACCTTCGGGAATACCGTTAGTATCATCATCTCTCATGCATTAACTATTGTTTACTTCATAGTACACGAGCATTTAGATAGTTTTCAGTAACTTTATACTGCTTCATCTGGCATTAGTGAAAATATGTATACATTTATTTGCATATTCGCCGAGACCCCACTGATCCACCATTTTTAAAATTTTTAATCAGTATTTGGGTCTGTCTTTTGTAATTTCTTGTGGTAGCACCCCTAAGAAGAGATTCCATCGTGACATATCATAATTTTAATAAAACTTGTAGCAGTTTCTTTGTTATTACACATCCATGCAATCGATCCTGGCTTCTGGAGAGACTTAGGCGACTCAGGTAGCATGTGACTATTCAGTCATCCTTATCTTCCTAATGATTTCATTCTTTTCATAGGAAGTTGTGACCTCTGGCATATGTACCTCTTACATTCATGTCCTTGTATTTTACGTTTAGATGCCTCATGTATGCTCGTATGTGTCTGTACCCCTATTAGTATGCTCAGTGCTTGTATTTGAGATAAACGTGGCATTAGTCCTTGAATTCACTAACTTCTGGTCTGGGCCATGTTGGTAGATGCAGACTACTTGGTTGGGGTCCGCGTGACTATTGTAACCAACGGTTGGAGACTGTGGGTGACATGGCTCGGAATCGATTACAATGGTGTAGGTGTATACACTCTTTGTCTTCCCTTAAATTGTGGGATTAAAATTACACTTTACCTTTCTTTCTACTTATTTCTTCCTGTATTATGTCCTTATACACAATCATTCTTTTATTTATTACTACAATTGAAGTAACTACTTCTATGAATTTGGTGTTCGTCTTGTTGTGCTAATGAGGTATGGCAACTTGAACCGATGTATACATGTGCCTGGTCCCACGTTGGGACTGATTGATTTAAGCTAAATTGACACTTAATATGTTATATTTTTAATAGATACACCTGTCTCCTCATAGTTTCGTCTGCCCTCCCTAAAGGAATGTTTGAAAAATATACATCCAAAACACTCGTGTCGGATGTTTATTTCCGCGTCGTTGTGGGGTGTATCGATTGAGCATATACATTGTAATAAGAATCTACTTCGTTTACATCACTAGTGATTCAATCATACAAGAGTCAGACCTCAGGTGCTAAAACCCACTCAAATATGGGGTTGTATACGAACTTACATCGAACAATACACGTGGTTTTGTCCTATTTTATCACAAATGAGCATCAGGAGATAACACTTTGTCTTTAATGGATTTACCAGCCACCTAACCAGGTGTTCAGAATGGAACTAAGCCCCTCACGGCCATGTATACAAAATTCAGTTCTCTTAATACGAAGCATACGTGTAGATTTTTTGGGTGGATTTTTAATTTAAATGTACAATATTTCTCTCCAAATCAACACAAGTGCATAATGTTCTTATGACTTTTTCTAACTCAAACCATTTATGAAATAGACAAGTCGGTTGACTGAATTCATCCTTCATCAATTTGCACGCTGCTATGTGGTTGTTTGTACATTGTTATTTTTATATTTTGTCTGACGCATTTTAACTTTGGTACCTAGTATTAGATGTCAAACATTAATCCTAAATATTTGTAAGTAAGCTATTACTGTTTTATTAGAGACTCAAAATTGACTGTTATTCAGTAAACGTATTTATTGAAAATCTAGTGTTTCCTCTCTTTTCAGTTTTTAATGTTTATGTATTTACTTACTGATTTCTTTGCCCGTATTATTTTTAATCATAAAGATTCACTTTTATGGCAGATTTTGTACAATTTCAGCCAAGCTATTAGTTAAAAATGTCACACCAATAGGTCTTCCGGTGGGATTTGTCAATAATCGTGCATGTGCCTAGTCCAGTTTCTTGATATGAAAAGTCCTAGTATTAAGTCCTCAGCCTAGATATTCATATCTATCATACCTAGATGTATCTCTCTGCAGTTTCTGTATATTGCTAAGAATAAATCATAAGCGACTTAAAAAGCCAGTCATACCATGAGAAATTTCGTATGATATATCGTAGTACCTGTTGTTGGTACTACAGTTATGCAAATCAATTCTTTGGAAGACAAAAACATTTTACTTTTATTCCCATTATTTTAGGTATCTCCACCTGGATATTTAGCATTCAATCTCTGTAGTTGGTTTTACGTGCAGTTCCAGGAAGCGGCTAATCGCGCTCGAGAGATTTTGGACAGTGCAAACAGAGAGCAATCCGGTCATATTTTATTGCATGATAAACTGAATAATCTTAAATCATGGGAAACCAACAAGGACTTTTGGCCAACAGTTTTAAGCTTGGTTTTACAAGCTAGGTGTCAAGAAGCAGCAAGTTTGCTTGTCCTGCATTCTAATTCTAACGGTCGTGGTCTCCGAAGTCTACGTCAACTTCTAGCTTCTATGCCAGTTGCTTCTCATGCTGAAAAAGAGGGCAAGTGATTTTGCCTAAGACATTTTTTGTAACGTGTGCATTTTTGAGACATTCAGTAGTTAGTCTAACTACCTTAAGTAGATCTCAATAAAATATTTGTTCTCTATCTCTTTATGATCGTTCGTATTATCGTAGTAGATACTCGATATTTCCTGCTGAAATTCGCTGTCTCAATAATTGTTACAAACTGTCCATCCTGCATACAATTAAATCACACCTGTTTTTTGGAAACTAGAGGTTAATTTAACATGAAACTTGGTGGTCATAGATCTTATATTGGCTTCCTGGACTATTTGTCAGAAAAGCCCAAATGACGACCAAGCATGTACAAGAGAAAGATTCCATCAAGTGTCACCGTTCACAAAATATGGTTTTTGCCTTTAAAGTATCCAACTGTTTTATTGGAGCTTTATTTGGACAGTAATAGCATCGTTATTCTAGAGAAGTAGGTGTAATAAAAGTATAGGGAAGCTGTATATGGAGATAATTTCTCATTATTATGCAAGCTCCCTTAAAAAATTTCAATAGTTTCTTCATAGCCGCCAAGATTCTCTATAAGCGATAATCTAATATACTTTTAAAACAATTTATAGCCATTGGTTTATTTATTTTATTACTCGAAAGTTATGACAATTTGAATCTCTAAATAAACCATTTAAATCCTGAATTGTTTGTCATTATAGTTGTCTTTTTAGTTCCTGGTAATAACTTTGATTCATACAGTAGTAATCCAAATCAATACTCATTGGGTCTTTTATAGAATTGAATAGAACGATATCAAAGGCATCATATATCACTCGAAAGAAATATCTAGGTTGAATGAGATCTAAAAATACGCACTTCTAGTAAGAATCCCGTATGATTAATTACTTGAAAGTGGTGATAACCATAGTGGGATTAGTTTGAATAGCATAGCATCTAAAATACTAGCGTCAATAATTATCGGGCGCCTAACAAAGACTCGTGAACTGCAAACACGAAAAAAATCAGGCTGGCTTCAGACCCGGTCGTGGCTGCATCGATCACATATTCACCATTCGTCAGATTTTAGAACACAGGTATGCTTATCGGCGTCCGACAATGATGGCTTTTCTTGACTTGAAAGTAGTATTTGACTCTGTAAACTGAGAGGTTCTGTGGCAGTGTCTGTCATTGAAAGGCGTACCTCAGAAGTACATAAACCTTGTGAAGGCTCTTTACTCGAACACTACAAGTCGAGTGAGAGCTTATGGCGAACTGTCATCTGCTTTTGCAACGTCAAGGGGTATCCGTCAAGTCTGTCCACTTTTTCAATTTTTGTTTAACTTCATAATAGACCTGCTGATGGAAATAACGTTCTCGTCGATTGAATTCTCGGGCGTTGATCCCCCTCCAGGGGGTTCACTTATCGAATTTGAATACGCAGATGACATATTCGTGTTTGGTGAAGTCTCTGATAAAATTCAGAGTCTTTTGGTAGTACTGAGCAACAATGTCAGGCTGTTTGGAATGCGCTTCTCCCTCTCGAAATGCAAGTTGTTGCTCCAGGACTGGTCTGCGTCAACACCTGAACTAAGGATAGGGAGTGAAGTAGTTGAACACGTCGACAACTTCACTTACCTTAGAAGTCTGATTAGCCCTAATGTGTTGGTGTCTGACGAAGTGTCAGCACGGATTCGAAAAGCTTGCTTAGCTTTTGCTAACTTACATAACCTATGGCGAAGGCGAGATGTCCGTCTATCAATAAAAGGGCGAGTATACTGCACGGCAGTTCGTTCTGTTCTACTTTACGGCTGCGAAACGTGGTGATTAAGAGTTGAGGATATTCGTAAGCTACTAGTATTTGATCACAGATGTCTTAGAAATATTGCTGGGGTCTGCTGGGATCACCGGGTAAGTAATAGTGAGGTTAGACGCAGGTTATTAGGGAATGATGAAAAATCACTTGATGAGGTTGTGAATCTTCATGGACTGAGATGGTTGGGCCACGTGTTACGTATGTCCGAACACCGATTACCACGTCGCACAATGCTAACCGGTGTTGGAGATGGTTGGAAAAAAGCTGGGGGTGGACAAACCGAAACATGGCATCAGTGCTTGAAGTTATTAACTTGTGGTCTGAGCCATGTTGGTAGATGCAGACTACTTGGTTGGGGTCCGCGTGACTATTGTAACCAACGGTTGGAGACTGTGGGTGACATGGCTCGGAATCGATTACAATGGTGTAGGTGTATACACTCTTTGTCTTCCCTTAAATTGTGGGATTAAAATTACACTTTACCTTTCTTTCTACTTATTTCTTCCTGTATTATGTCCTTATACACAATCATTCTTTTATTTATTACTACAATTGAAGTAACTACTTCTATGAATTTGGTGTTCGTCTTGTTGTGCTAATGAGGTATGGCAACTTGGACCGATGCATATATATGCGTGGTCTTACGTTGCATCTGACGTAATGAAATTGGTTTATTTCCTAAAATTTCTCCCAATGTGTCAAAATTGAATATTCTACATCTCTTTTTCTAAGAGTTTGTGGCAAATACGGAAATTGAAGTTCTATTGCGTAAAATTTATTTCCTTAGTGGGACTGATCAATATGACCACATCAGATATCTTTATAAATACCCGTGTAATTTCCACTCGAATCATTATGGATATCATAGGTTAAATAAACTTGTTCCGAATTCGTTTCTCGTTTTTAACTTCCCAATTATTGGTGATAAATACATAAAGTGGATCTAGATCTGTCGCTCTTCAGTAGTAAGTTACTTTGCTTAGTGAGTAGTTCAGGAGCATTGTTACAATTGCACGATTACTGGAAGTAAAATTAGTGCTTCTCGGCGTAACTTGTTAATAAAGTAAATAAATTAAGCATTTTCTACACATAAACGTTCTTCGTAATCCATTTTTTTACATTACAAAGATATTAGTTACAGTTTAATGGCTATCATTTAGCAAATGTTTAGGAAAATTTATTTATTGACTAGCTATAAATCAGCATCTATTTAACTGAAGATGTTTTATTGGTTGACAGTGTTTTCGATGTTTCTAACAGCATACTTTAAAAGGTGCTTCGAGAAATCTTTTATATTCTCTCATATATGATCAGTTTTGGGAAGTCTCTGTTCTCTATGTAAATATTTATTCTTATTTCCACCTTTTATAGATATAGACCAACTAAACGTCTCTGCACTTTCAACCATTTTTAGAATTATTTCTTCGTATATTTGGCGTGGGGACTGTTTGTCATGTCTTTTTTAGCGTAATACGTACTCATTTTTGATAACACGCATATGTAACACTAATTGTTTAGGTGAACTTTCACTGGTTGTTAATCCTTGCTTCTATCTCATCCATCAACGTGTTTATCTACTTGATAAGCTTTACTCAATGCTTGAAATCTTTCTTTTTATCGTGAACATGGATCTGAGAAACTTATGTTTTGTCTCTTTCACTTTCTGTTTTCATTAGTTACTCGTAATCCATTATCCTTAGTTTCTGATGTAAAGTTTTCAGAATGTGTTTTCTAAAAATCCTTGTCTTTTTTATTGGTGTTAGGTATGTGGACTGAGTATGGTGCTCAGTTTTCACAGGCGTGGAATTATTGGCAATCAGAGTGTGAACATCGACTGTCTTCGGGAGAATTCGACCATGTTGGTGGTGATCCAGCATCAGTTGACTTCATAAAATTAATTGTAAATATCTTATCGGGGCGTACGTCTATTTGGGATGACCCGCGAATTCTGGACGTAACTAGAGGTTCACGTGGATGGTTTTTTCGTTTTGTATCATTTGTTTTCTACACTGACCAGTTGGTAAATATTGATGGTTTAAGCAGTGATCTTGATCGATGGCTTGCTTTAACGAAGAAAGGTAATATGGAACCTGGCTCTAACTTTGATCAGGTAAATAACGTTTAGGATTTTTCGCACGAATACAAACCTTTTTTATTGGTTACTTCAATATCTTTCCTTACTTATAAGTTAATCGCTCTGCTGTTTTGTTAAGCTATATTTTCAGTTAGTTTAATATTATACTTGTTTATACTGTGTTTTTCTTGCGCGAAATTCAACGATAACACTTTGGTCGCGCACGTTAGGATGGAATGTAAATAGATGTGAAATAGTTTTGTATAAAGTAATTTGAGATCTTCAACAGCCCACTTCTACTTTCCAACGAATATTGGTTGAAAATCTACATTTTTTTATAACTATTATATATTATAGAATACTGTTGCTTAATCACCTCCGTTAACCAATAATTCACTCTTCTCAGTTTTAGTACAACTTTGTTCTATTAATGATATTGTTTTTATTTCCGTATTGTATGACATCTCTTAGCCACATACGACTGAGTCAAAATACATACTATGTATCATATTGTGGATAGACATTAGGTTACAGTGAAATTCAACACGCGCGTTTCATCTTACTCAGAACTTGCTAGCTGAATATCCCCCTCCATTTCGATCTTTAGTCCTCATTGAGATCAACACTGAAACACAAGTATATGCAACTAATAAGATTTAAATTAAGACGAAAAATGCTCGTTTTATTTCATTGTTACACATTTTTTAAAATATGATCAACTTATAGTTACAGGCTAAGTAAAAAAGCATTTGGGAGTCATTATTTCTTAGTAGGAAGACTAGAAAACCCTCTTAACTTATGAATACTGTATAAAGGCGCGATCTCAGTACCGTTACAGGTTAATTATCCAGTTACAAACATTCTGCTTTTCAAAATCAGCGAAAATTAGAACTAGCAAAAAACAATTGGAATCCGTTTGGTTTCATTAGGTTCTATTTACAACCCAATTAACAGAATATGACAAAGTTTAATGTTTTTTAAAAAATTCTCAGAAAATTAGTTAGGGGCAAATTGAGCGAGTATCAGGGCAGTTATGTATTCACAAAAGCCTTATGTTTGTCTTAGATACTTTTTTTACAGTTTTATAAAGTATATTACATCCCCTATCTAATTTCTTATTTAAGTACTACATAATGTAAACAGATAACGAAGATGTGTTGTATTAAAAGCGTTTATCAGCTTTGTTGTAGGTGTGAACTGTTTGCCATTCAGTTATGTTTGTTCAGCTACCCCTTACATAGTGTTGTATCTCAAAGCCGTTAACACAAACCTAAACGTGATTACTGAGCTGTAATAACTTTAATCTACTTACATAAAATAAAAAAGATTGCTGTTTCACATTTAATACTTGTTACCAACCATAAAACAATTCATTGCAAAATATAACTATTTCAAAATTGTACTACTTAGCTGTTAATGGTTTTACGTCCTTTAAAATGGACTATTTAAGTGCTAACATCTCATAATCATTATTATTAGTGTTAACTCGAAGTATTCACTGGTGTTTAATGTCATTGAACGTTTCACAAACAAACCAGCTAGCTCGGAAAATTTAACCTTATTATAAGAATTTACTCATGAAAAAAACATTTTCTGTCACTTGGATTTTTTCAGAAGCTTTTAATTGTGTCCCTGTTATTTATATTTTTATTGTTTACTTTTTACCTCAGTCCGTCGATGCTTTAATCACAAGCATTTTTCACGTGGATCTATTTTCATTTGTTCGTATAGCAAGTGAAAAATTAAGTAATTGGTGGTTTATTGCACATTTTACGAATCTTTTAAATCACATATATCCTGGTGTACTTAATGATCTTCAGCTTACACATAAACAAGACGAGTTATCTTTAGAATCTTGTCCAAAAACAGTAAATTGTAAGTAACATTTTCTTAATTAGTTAGTTTTGTTTCATAAGTTATTGGTTTAAACATTATCTTCATAAGACCACTACTAAATAAAACAAATGTTTAAATGTTGTTTTTTATCAGTTATTCTGGTAATGGCTTGCTATGAAGTATTATTAGCCAGGAACTATCATCTGAGGTTCCAGTTTTCTCAACAATTTTTTCGTATTTATAGGTAATGACATGTAAATGCTAAACGGTGCTACATATTCGGCTCAACAACTAAGAGTCTGTGTGAAATTTAGTGACAAATAATATAATTCATGTGCACATAAATCCATTATCTCTTATTTCTTGAATGGAAACTAACAGTGCACATGTTTAGTAGAATCAAATTTTTAAAATCGCGATGGCATTTTAAGATTAGAAAAAGTTTATTATGAAAATACTGCATTTGGAAACCCTCAAATGTGGTTAAAGTAAAATACTATATGGACCAGTTACCTCTAATCTGAAATATATAATATACTTGGGGCATTTAGGCTCAGACGTATACAGCCTCTGCCAGGGAAGTCCTACTCATTGCCTTCTCGTGGCGGGGGTGTTGTTTACGAAAATGAGAGGACGAAAAGCGAATGTCCGGCGCTTTAACCGGATTCCAAATCAATGGTGCACATGGGCTCCAGTATCCTGCGGGAACGAATGGCGTATGAACCAATCGTTGGTCACCGGCTACCATGGGACTACATCTCCTTACGATGCTCCACTGCCTTATGGATCAGACCTTTAGGTCGAAGGCTCGGGGAGTGGCCCCCTAAGATAACCACCTGCTTCGGTTTGGGCACCCGGGCAGTATCACAGCCCACACACAAATGATGAACTCTATGTCCATGGAAATTACTTTTGTCGCTTTGAAAAACAATCAATTGATTCAAATTATGATCACTACAATTATTGTCATTATTAATACTAATATTATTATTACTACTATTATTGTCATTATTGTTATTATTATTATTATTATTTTCCACATTATTCACCTTCTTTTATACTTATACAGCGGCTCGTCTTTGGTGGAATTCCGATTGTATCTAAACGTTCTCGAGTCACTGTCCGGTTGAAAATTGTATGTTACCACCGAATACGAGGACTGAAGCAGATTTTCTGAAACCACGTGCACCATTCAAACTGGCTGCCTTCAACGTTCGCACATTTATGCAGGTCGGACAACAAATAGGGCTGGCTATGTCTTTGGAAAGTCTTAATATCGACGTGTGCTGTCTATCCGAGACCCGTATTCAAGACTCTGGCGAAGTACTACAAATTCGATCTCCATCTGTCGCTTCGAAAAGCTTGTTTTACGTGCGCTTATCCGGGGACCCTGTGGCATCTTCGTCTGGTCTTGCTGGCGTTGGTGTCGCACTAAGCGCTAGAGCTGAGGCAGCACTAGTCGATTGGATCCCCATTAACAGTCGGTTATGTGCTGTTAGATTAGAAAGTTCCATCAAAGTGAGAAGAAATCGGCGTGAGAAACGATGTCTTTTCGTCATCTCCGCCTATGCCCCGACAGATTGCAGCCCGGATGCAATCAAGGATGAGTTTTACCACCAGTTATCAGTTCTTCTCCAGAAAGTGCGTTCGACAGATATTGTAGTACTAGCCGGAGACTTGAATGCTCAGGTCGGGCGTCTAGGCACAGAAGAGAGTCGTTTAGGTGGCCGATGGGGACTCGTTGGTCGCAGGTCAGATAACGGGGACCGTCTACTGCAACTTTGCACAGACCACAACCTGTTTCTGGCTAGCACTAACTTTCGGCACAGTCATCGCCGATGTGCCACCTGGCGTCCTCCCTCTGCATCTCAAGCCTGGACTCAGATTGATCACATCGCGATCAGCTACCGCTGGCGTGGTTGTGTACAAGACTGCCGCTCCTTTTGGAGTACCTATCTGGACTCTGGCCATGCCTTGGTCTGTGCCAATCTTGCCTTACTTTTCAGTGGACAACGAAGTGACCGCCATCAACGGATTGATATTAGCAAGCTGGTTGCAACTTCTGTTGCAAGTAAGTATCGAACCGAGCTAGCCTCTAGGCTAGCTACCATTCCACTGAAAAGTATAGATGAGCATTGGTTGCAATTGCATGACGCCATGAAAATGGCGGGAACAGTCAGTTGTGGGTTCGCGAAACGTCCCGCTTTTAAGCACTGGGTTTCTTCTGGTTCCTTACAACTCATTGAAGTCCGTCGGTCTACTCCGGGTAACCGTGAGTTTGACCATAAACGAAGGATGTTACGTAAGGAAATTGGGCAAAGCTTGCGTAAGGACCGAGAAGCCTGGTGGTCGATGCGTGCTAATGAGCTGGAAGCAGCAGCTGCATCTGGTAATTACCGGAAGCTCTTCCAACTCATCCGAGCCACTGGCAGCAAGAAGTCTGGTGTGAGTGAAACAATCTGCGAGGATGATGGGATGCCAATCACTAACATCCATCGACGTCTTGGACGATGGGCAGAATTTTTCGAAGGGCAGTTCAACTGGCCTGCTGCTCCGGCAACATCGGTCAGACTGTCCTGCCCTCCATGGCCGGTGACGACTGATCCACCAAATGAGGAGGAAGTCCGAAAGGAACTCCAACTCTTGAAGCGTTACAAATCACCTGGCCCAGATGACTTACCTCCGGCTCTTTTTAAAGATGGTGGTGACTTTTTGACTAAGGAATTGACGACGTTGTTTACAAAGGTTTGGGAACTAGAGAGTGTACCAACGTCATGGAATGAGTCGATAGTTGTCCCTATCTTCAAAAAGGGTTCACGTCGTTCTTGTAACAACTATCGGGGGATAAGTTTACTTCCGATTGCGTCCAAGCTATTGGCTTCCGTCATTCTTCGTAGGTTGTTCAAAACCCGAGAAAGATTGACTCGCGAGGAGCAGGCTGGGTTTCGTTCTGGTCGAGGATATGTTGATCATATCTTCACCCTCCGCCAAATGTTAGAACACCGCCATACTTTTCAAAGGCCAACAATCGTAGTGTTTCTTGACATCAGGGCTGCCTTCGATTCGTTGGATAGGACTGTTCTCTGGGATTGTCTATTGAAGACGGGTGTGCCTGAGAAGTTTATTAACATCCTAAAAGCCCTATATACAAACACCTCAGGCAGAGTGAGGGCATACAACCACCTCTCTCCATTGTTCCATTCGAGCAGTGGGGTTAGGCAGGGTTGCCCAATCTCACCATTCCTCTTCAACTTTGCCATCGATGACATTCTGGAAACAGCTCTGATGAATGTAAGTAATGGTGGTGTGGATCTGTTGCCTGGAGAAAGACTTCTCGACCTTGAGTATGCGGACGATATTGTCTTACTGTGCGATAATGCCCAAGGCATGCAATCCGCACTTAATCAGTTGGCAATCAATGTCCGTAGGTATGGTATGTGCTTTGCACCTTCGAATTGCAAAGTACTTCTACAAGACTGGTAGGATTCTAATCCTGTACTCACCCTGGACGGTGAGCAGATAGACGTAGTTGAGAAGTTCGTGTATCTGGGTAGCTGCATAAGTGCTGGTGGGGGTGTGAGTGATGAGATCAATGCACGAATAGTGAAAGCCAGAGCGGCTTATGCCAATCTGGGCCACCTTTGGCGCCTTCGTGATGTTAGTCTGGCTGTAAAAGGTCGGATCTACAACGCGTCGGTGAGAGCAGTTTTGCTCTATGCTTGTGAAACCTGGTCTCTCCGAGTCGAGGACGTTAGACGACTCTCTGTGTTCAATCATCGCTGTCTCCGAAGGATTGCTGACATTCAGTGGCAACACCATGTCAGTAATGCAGAGGTTGGGCATCGTGTGTTCGGGCATAGAGATGATAACTCAATTGGTGTCACCATCTTGAAACACCGACTTCGGTGGCTTGGACATGTTCTCCGAATGTCGTCCCAGAGAATTCCACGTCGTGCATTATTTCCCGACTCTGGGACTGGTTGGAAGAAGCGGAGAGGTGGTCAGTGCATGACATGGTGTCGTGGCATGAAAGAAAGCTGCAAAGGACTGGCTTGTGTTGGTCCTTCATGACTACCTGGCTGGGGTCCGAGAGATGGTGCTACACAGTGGCTAGAGACGTTATCAGATATGGCTCAGAATAGAAGCCAGTGGCGATCCTGCTGTAACCTTCTTTTACTTTCTTCATAAAAAGTGGTTGTGTCTCCTTTACCTGAAAGATTTCTTCTGATTGTACCTCTTCGTCATTACTCTCTCTTTCTTTTGCATTCCTTGGTTTTTTTTTCTTTCTACTTCTCTTCGAATTCCCATTGTTTTGTGTGGCGCATATATATTGGCGCTCTCTTGTACCAATATTTATGTGTTCAAATAAATAAATAATTCCCTTGATTTCCTATCCAATATCTAATCAAGCATTCATAGAAGTTTATGCACAAACCTACCTATTATTGCAGAAACTATAAACATCCACAACACCCGTTTACATTATGGTATAAACACTTTCGTTCTTTTTATTTACTACATGTGCAGATAAATCTAATGCTAAGTTTAATGAATCATTGTATCAACCTGTAGACAGCTCTTCATTGGTTGAATTTTTTCTTCTTGGTTATGTCGAATCATTGGCTTCTGAAACAAGTCTTTTATCTATTGCACTTGGATATTTGGATCACTGTAAATCTGGGCGTACTCGTCAATCTACCTTATTATTGAGACATGCTGTGCCAGTTTCAACTAGAGCTACAAACTGGGTAAGTTGATTAGACATCTTTAATTTGATGACTATGTTAATGAATTTCCTTAGCTTGTTGTCCTTTTTATGAGAATTAGTTACTGTGTAGTATACTAAGTGATATAATCTATATTTATAATCCTTACCTATGAATCCTCACTGCCATTATTTATTAGTAGCCACGAAGTCATGTTGTTTAATAGATGAATCTCACAGTCCCTTTGATTTTCCCGTCTAAAATAAGCGATCGTAACAGTTGTCTCAAAGCAGGAGGAATGATAGCCAGATGTGTAAACAATACACAAGACTAAAATGTCGAAATCAAATGAAATTAAAAGCTGGGCAAATAACTCACCTTATACGTTTATCTGCTATCCTAACATGTGCAATATATTTTATGAGATTTTTGTATAATGATATATGTTTGAGTCTGGTTTTATGGCTTAGTAGTGAGAACACTGAATTTTAATTTGTATATTCAAATTCCGATCCACCATAGTCCCATTTACTTTATTACCTATAATCAGGCATGAATAATTTATTACGCTAGTGACATTTCTTACACATCCAATACAATTATATTATATGATTTGTGTAAATTGGTTGTAAAAATTATGTGATATACGAGTCCCTGTGTGCTCACGAATGTAGAACATGTATCTCATGTAGTTTGATTTCTATTCAGAAAACCAATGATTTACTCATTAAATAGGTGTATAATCCTTTCTTTAAAAGGCAAAACTAATTAAGCTAAGAAAAAAAACTAATTAACATTTCAGAAAATGTTGAAAATCATTTACTGAAACTCAGTTGCAATCTGAATTTTTCAGAAGTAATATCAACCATGTAGTTGACCAGTATATTTTTTGGGTTTTTTTTTATTTGACATGTCATCTAAATCGAAATACAATCTATTGTGATGTTATATTATTTATCCTAAGTGTTATGTTCTATTCAGTAATTGGATACTAACTGGATTACTGAATAATAAGTAATATATACTTCAGATCAGTAATCTCAATAATTAGTTTTCCATAAGAATACAGTTTTAAATAGTTTCACCTTTTTTTACTTATTTAAAATGAATAAGCTAATTAATTAATTATTTGTAACGATTTATAATTTTTATTTATTTCATTTTACTAGTTTATTAGTCAAGCCAAAGTTAGAGGATTATATTCAACTGCTGAAGAATTAGCCAAATTAAATTGTCGTAGATTTACATGTTTATCATTGCAATCACAAGAAGGTTCTATAATTAATTCATCAAATTATTCTCCAATATGTATCTCTATAGGTTGGGCTTTAATGGCACGTGATTATTCTATGATTAATCGATTAGCTGAACTCTCTCTTGCTAGAGATAATGGATTTATGCATAAGGACACTTTAAATGAAACAATAATTTCGCATGCTTCTACAGAAGTTGCAGAATTGGCTGCTATAATATTAGGTTTTTGTCGAGGATCATCATTTGACGAACCGTCTAATAATAATAAAGTTAATGAAGTGAATCATCTTCAATTATCACCTGAATTAGCTTTTTTAATTCGTTATGCTGAACTTCAACAAAGTTTTAATGATGGTGATTGTGAAGGCGCAGTTGATCGAATTATTGATTTACTAGTTACTAGTCCTGGGAACTCACTTATTACCACCAATTCAACTGGACAAGATTGTACAAATTCTTCGACTACAGGTTTTGGTTTACGTATACCAACTCGTCTTAAAATAAGACTTCTTGCTGAAGTAAGACACTTATTGGGTCGAAATTGTCTACGTCGAGATCAAGTTGAAGTGCTTATCACTGCTTTGATTGAATTAAGAGCAGATTTGGATTTAAACCCTAATAACATGTCCACAAATAGTGATATACATTCATTACTAACAAAAATTCATATGTCTCTTGCTAAAGAGCTAGCATCGACATTCTTTGCTACCTCTAATACCATTCCTATATCTCTGTCTTTATCACCCAATAGTATGGTTGATACAAATTGGCATTAAGCCTGTTTCCTTATTTACCATGTTGTGTAAACTTTTTAAGCAGTAAATTTTGTTGAAATATGGTGCATTTATGGTCCCATGTTTTGTGTATATGTTTTTGTTGCTATTTTGTATGGAAAGTTTTGAATTTTATATTTTCTGTCCTATCTACACTTTAAGAACAAACATCTGATTTTTTCCGTTTTATTAGTTCATCATGATAATTTGTCTGGTGTTGCTGTATGAGGTGATTGAGTTCGTATACTCACCTTCATGATCTCTTTGCCATTCATAGGGATCGAATCCATTTAAGCTTGAATAAGTAATTTTTGATAACTCTCACGGAATAAAGAGTATTGTCTACAGCCTCGTACGTTGACAGGTACATGAAGTTTGTTCATTGTTATCCTATATTTATGTATATATTAAAAAGAACAAACAAAATTGTGCTATTCCATTTCAATTGTTCCTGAGTTGATAGTAAATATGGATGGGTCGTATCGCTCTTTATTCATTTTCATCTAATTTCCACTAACCGTTTCCTTTTGTTCCAGAGGATCTGAGGTTATAGCAACTATACTATGAAGCGAAAGACACTAAGTTTGAATCTCCGTGTGAACATCAACACGGATGCAGGTTCGTTCATCAGGCAAGTCCCAAATAGGACAAAACATGGGTCCCGGGCCCCATTGCTAGTCACCATCTAACTCCTTATGACTTAGTGGCGATATCTAAGCAATCCTTACAGAATCGAAATATTCTAAAAGTGACTGATCAGTTGCAGTCTATAACATAAACAGGAAGATCAAAGCAACCAATACAAATCAATTAAGATAATAGTCTGTTAAAAAGGTTTCAGATGAATGGTAACTTATTCTTGAACTTGAACAAAGCCAAATGATTTGTGCTGCACATTAAAACAAGCTTATTGAGTATTTACAGTCAGTAGATGTATATAAGAATGAGTCACCTAAAAATTTTTATGAAACTGACCATAAGTCATGATTTGACTGTTCATTCTTAGTGTGCAATAATTTTCGACTTTAGCTGAATTGCTTACTTACTTTCAACAAATCGATCGCAAGACAATCAGCTCCCACTTTGGATGGATTTCAGCAATGATCATTTCCCAATGACATGCTTTCGTTTGTCACAAAATAATTGTCGACAATCTTACTTAGTTTCGGCGATCTCAGAATTGGTTCAGAAAAATATGTTTTGTTTTCATTATTTCAATTTTCGATACAAGTTATGCTAGTGTGAATAGATGGCATCTTATTTTCTCCAATCCCTAAACTCCCTAGTACGGCCGAAGGTCGGAAGAGTTCGTTCTCCTTGAAATGCTTTATCCACGTGCATTCAGCCACTGCCGGGTAGGTCCTACACACTACGTTCTCTCGGCGTGGATGTATATTGAATTGAAAGGACAAAAAGCGAATGTCCAGTGCTTAGATCGGGTTGGTGGGTAAAGAGAATCCACCTAGAGTAAAAAAGGCGGGTCGGAAATCAGTGGTGCACATGGCCTCCAGTATCCTGAGGTATCAAATAGGGTATGAACCTATTTTGGTTGTCGGGTACCATGTGGTCGCTTCTCCTAACATCGTTCCGCTCTCTTGTGGATTAGACGTCAAAGCTTGGTGAGTGGCCCTCTAAGAAAGCCACATGCTTTGATCTGGATATCTGGGCTGTATCCCAGCCCAAACAAACTGAGTGATGATTATGACGGGAAAACCGCTCTCTCTTCAATTCGCGTTTTTACAAATTATATTCATAATTATTTGCTAACATTCATTTTTATTTTACACCATATCACTTGTTTATTCCTTTTCTCATTGTATGTATTGTATTTTCCACCTTATATAGAACCTCGCTTGTAGTAGAAATCATGTCCTCTCTAAACGGTCTCAAGTCACTGATTAGTCCCAAGTTGAGTGCTACCACAGAATAAGAATTCCGAATTAGTCTTAAACCATGTATGCTATTCAAATTGGTCTCCCTCAACGTTCGCACGCTAATTCAGGTCAGACAACAGATCGGGTTAGCTGTCTTTAGAAAGTACTAGCACCAACATCTGTTTTTTATCTGAAACCCCCATTTAAGACTAGTGAAGTACTACAAATCGTTTCAGCATGTCACTTTGAAAAACTTGTTCATTCATCGTAACAACTAACCCTTAGTATCATTGCGTATCTAGGTTCATAAAACAGTTCAAAACTAATTTTAAAAAACAGTTCTCAAATACACTGGGGAGAAGCAAGTTTTAAGCGTAACGTCAATATCCCATTTGATACCCATTTTTACACTATTCAAGTTTATAACTGGAGTTCTGGCGGTGTTTTTGTATTTAAATACACAGCGGTCCTTTGCTTATGTAAAGTCACCTGTGTTATAGTATTTCTTTTGAATTAATCTCACCTCAAACTAACAACATTCAGTTGATTTTCCACAGTTAATATTAACTCTTTCAACGACTTTTCAACATCCTATACAAGAGTTGATAGTCTAACTTTTAGGTTAGCTTCTCACCATATTTCACAACTTGAATTACGGAAGACAAATAACTTCTGCAGTCCACATAAAACTTGGTCTGTTAACATTGTCTGTTTTTGTTTAGACTAGTGAGTAAACAATATCCTGAACTAGCAAAAACAATTTTGGAAAAAGTAGACTGCTAGTTCATATACTTTCTAATACGCCAAACATGACACTAAACGCACAGACGAAATGTCGCTGTTTATCTAGAAAGCAGGTAAGGATGATGAGCTGTAGATAAGACAGATCAGGATATAGGTCCAGTTTGATATGACTGAGTGGATTTAACTGTATAATAGAAGTGTATTTTTAATGCTAACATACAAAAATTCAGTGACTACTTACAGAACATTATATCTCATTTAGGCGCAGAATTTATAACTTGACTTGTGAATGCAAAAAATTATTATTAAGAAAGAATGTCACTGTACATAAATTTAAATTTGAAATCATCTTGAAAAGGCGATTAAATGGTTTGTGCCGATTGATTTAACGAAAGGATAGGTATTCCGATAAGGATCTTCCGTCCACGTAGCATCGTGAGTAAAACCTGAATAAATTTTTCACTTCAATGGCCTAAATTGTTTTTGAATGAGATCACGAACCGATTGTTGATAGACAACCATTGAAAACCTGGAAGCATTGGACGATCGTTCCCTCCTATCGTGCGATTACTCAGCATTCACGATCCCGCTTGTGGGATTTGAACCCAGGGCCTTCAGTCTCGCTCAGGAACGCTTAACCGCTAGACCCACAATAGGACGAAACGACCGTTTAGTGTATCCAGGTTTTCAATGGTGGTCTAACATCATTCGGTTCACGATATCAACCAAAAGCTTAATAATCTCCACAACCCCATACTGATAATGATTTAAACTGTGAACAGCGGCCTGTTCGAATTGTGAAGATTTCTACGTCGTAGGGCGGGGAAACACGAAATACAATGGACAGCTGACACACGACAAGAAGATTTGGACTTGGTAGATGACCTAGCTGTTCTATCCCATACACACGAACAAATGCAGGTGAAAACAGTGTAGCAGCAGTCTCTGCAGCAGTAGACCTCAACATACAAAAGGACAAAAGCAAGATCCTCAAATACAACATGGGGAACACTAATCCAGTCACTCTTGGTAGAGAAGCATTGGGAGAGGTCGAAACTTCCACACAACTAGACAGCATCATCGACGAGCAAGAAGGATCTGATGCAGATGTGAAGTCAAGGATTGGCAAAGCGATGACAGCATTCCCACAATTGAGGAACATATGGGACTCAAAATAACTGTCAGCAAGCCAATATCAAAGTCAGGTTCTTCAATACGAACGTCAAGACAATTCTAGTGTATGGAGCTGAGACTTGAAGAGTTACCACAAACATAATCAAAAGTGTATAAATATTCGTAAACAGTTCTCTACGCAATATACTGAATGTCGGTTGATCAGATATCATCAGCAACAAACTACTGTGGGAGAGAATAAACTCGCTTCCAGCTGAAGAGGAGATTAGGAAAAGAGTGAGTGGATAGGACATACATTGTGAAAATCATCAAAATACATCATGAGGTAACTTCTAGATTGAAATCCTTAAGAGAAACGGAAAAGAGGAAGACTAAACAACACACTGTCGAGAATTAGAAGCAGATATGAAAAAGATTGCCCAGGACAGAGTTGGATGGGGAATACTTGTAGGAGGGTTATGCTCCTCCACTAGAGTTAACAGACGTAAGTAGTAATGTCTGTATGTACTGATGAACTATCACAGAAGTGTTACATTTGAGTTCCATACTAAATTCTGGAGAACCCGAACAAAAACAATACAGTAAGAACATTTTGCGTTTTATCTATCCTCCTAAAAAACGAGATAAATATATTGTAATGCAAAAGTTCTCTGTATATATATGGGAAAATAATTGTAGCAACTTAGCTGATAGAAAACCCTAATTATTTAGTACTTGTGAAAGATAATGACTATTGAAACCATTTTAAAAAATATCTGTCGGTTGAACACGTAACATCATTAAACATGTAATCATGCCGGTATTTGTTTCTCATATGAATCACATACTGGAAAAGTTAATTTAACTGAACTGGAGTAAAAGTATATAAAAGTTTACCTTTGAAATAAGTTTTATTACGCTACTTGAAAGTAATTCAAATATATTTACGAAATTTAGAAATACAATTCCTCATTCGTTAACCAACGAATCTCAGATACATCCATCTGACTGGTCCCAAATAGGACGAAACACGCGTCCTGGATTCCACTGCTAGCCACTATCCGTCTTTGTTTAAGAATCTCACTGTTGTTTGAAAATTATTAAATACTTTTTGGTTAGAAAGACCAAAAAATTCTAATAAGTTGACGTTTCTGTGTAAATTTTAAGTGATTATGACTCATTCTGGGAAAAATGCTTCCAATTAATTTCTTAGGATTCTGTTTTCTTCGTTTATATGAACTCGGGTCTAAATTCGAATGAATAGCTTCACAGTAGTTCGGCTCCAAGTTAACTTAACATTAAATAGGAAATATTATATTTGTAAAATCTCAACAGCTGTATTTTAAGTAAATCCAACTTTCCGCTCAGCTAACCTTCAGACCAATAATCTGTTACCTGACGGTGTGTAGTTTCATTCTCTTCGTGACATTGCGCACCCATCTTCAGTTGTTTTCAGTAGGTTGAACTGCACCGGTCGAGACTTTTCACTAGAACATCTAAACCTTTTTTCTCGAAGCTAATCACCAGTGAGCATATAATAATTATTAGTGTCAGTATTTACGGAGATCATTGATCCGTAATCTCAATAATATTCAACAAATTCCACAGATCTAAATACTGATATTTACTTTAGTTACTTTATAAATGTTTCAGAGTTTTAATGAAGTTTTCAGCCCCATTAAATGCACTAAGTATGAAAAGATATTTTCATGGAGCTCGAATTAAAGTATAAAAATAACCACATTAAAAGCTTTAAAATATAATTCAATAAATAAATCTTTAATAATCAGCTAAAAATCTCCACATCATTACTGAATGAATTTTGTGTTCAGAATAAATTGGTTCAAAGTATTTTCTGGGTGATGCTTGGAAATATTCCTGAACAAATAAATATACTGTTTGTATTATTTATACAATTTATCGATTTTGAAAATAATGTACTTACTATGAGGACTGAAAG